CATGGAATGATATTTATGAATGCATTGTTATTTTGTACATCCCGTGTTGCAGAATATTAAGACTGATGTGATGGAGTGTTCATTAAGCTGTTCCTTTGCTTTGATTTTTATCTTTACAATAAAGCACATGGAGACATTATTTTATCATAGCATCATGCTTTCAGAGGACATGTGAATAGAAGGAAAACCACACCAATTAGTCCCTGTTAAAATAATCCCACCCTTCCCAAGAGCAGCTGATAAAGAGGTCTCATACTTTACTGTGTTTCATTTATTTTTTGGTCCCCAGTTACTCTTCAGTTTTTACGAATGTCAGCGTAGACCACTGGCTCCATCTTATGGAACGAGTTTTTGCTGCCTGAGTGATCCAACTGGGCGTATATCACCGGGCCCTGGAACACAATAAGATAAGGCAAGAAAAGGCAAAGAAATAAAGTTGGTAAAAAAAAACACAGGTAAGGCCAGAAAAAAAGCAAACGCATAAAAATCTCTACATGTACTTTGCTTCTTCACCACTGTGTAATTTTAAGACAACATAGACGATTACTTGTTTGTTAGATCATTTATATCTAGTATCCATAATTGGAAATGTTGGTGTTTTTACAGAATTTGTGAATGGTAAACCTGTTCAACTCTGAAAGAACTTCTTGCAAAGTCTGACTATGACTGTACTTGACTGACCAACTGTAACAGCAACAAAACATTTGCATGCACAAACATGTATGTAAAGCAGAGCTGAAACAATTAGTCTATTAATCAATTAGTCAGTCAACTATTATAATTAATTACATATATGTAGGAATGTGTATTTCATTTTTTTATTTTGCCCTTTTGTAATGCAAAGCAAAGAGGCACAAAAAAAGGCACAGCAAACTGAGGCAAAATCTCACAAAATACTTAATATGAAGTTTTAGCAGTCAAAGATAAATCACACGGATGTCTTCCAAAGTAATAATCTTGTAGATGCCAAAATTTCTGTTTCTTTGCGGGGTTGTAGCTAACATTGCAAGGTGTTTTGATAAAGCACCTTGCAATGTTAGAATTGATGTTAATAATAGTTTTATTAAGACCTTTATGACTTATTTGAACCAAATACAGTAGATTACATTGTATTAGTGGATATAGGGATGAAGTTTCCAGGTGTGTTTGGATAAACAACATGGCCACATAAATCAACATTTTCCCAGTGAAATGGTGGCAGCCAGAGGATTTCTTGGTCCCCCAGCTCCTACCTGCAGTGGACCCAAGGGAACGGTACACTTGGAGCCCTCCAGGCTAGACTCCACCTTCTTTCGTGGCTGCGGAGCCTGAGAGCTCACGCTTTCGAAGGACGTACATCTAGATTAGGTTTAGGATTTGCCATGGTGTCGAGCAATCATTGGTGCACAGTCAAATGGAGGCCAACACAAATAATGGGACACAAGACAAAAATAAAACAATGAGATATGAGCACATGGAAACACTGGATGCAAACAAAGTGCATGGCCGCTCCCAGGGGTTTGACAGAGATACTGAAAGCAGTGACAGACTAGAGGTGCACCGATTTGAAGTGGTATCAGACCAGTGCTTTCTGGGACAATGTATTTGGAACAAACTGGTTTCACAGGTTAAAAGTCATTGTGTTTGAAAGGCCTGACTCCTTTCCTATACTTTAGGATAATACAGTTCTATCATGTTGCAACCCTCTTTTGTTTATGTACTAGACTCACATATAGTCAGGTCCATAAATATTGGGACATCGACACAATTCTAACATTTTTGGCTCTATACACCACCACAATGGATTTGAAATGAAACGAACAAGATGTGCTTTAACTGCAGACTGTCAGCTTTAATTTGAGGGTATTTACATCCAAATCAGGTGAACGGTGTAGGAATTACAACAGTTTGCATATGTGCCTCCCACTTGTTAAGGGACCAAAAGTAAGTTTTGAAAGTACTTGCACTGCTTCGTCTCTCAGAGTTAGCGTGGTTAAAAGTACTGGGGTCCCCAACAATAGCTTCGACAGAAATGGCATTATAATGAGTCTAAAGACACGAAAACGAGTCTCAAGGGTTCGATTATCATCCGATCATTCCAATTTTCGATCAGATCTGCACTGATGCAGACTTCAGGAATTTAACCCCAGTTCTTAGATATGTGGCATGAGCAGCTGCTGCCCATTACAGCAGTGCGTCAACATGGCTGCCATGTTGGAACAATGTGGCTTTTGTGGGCACGATGGCTGGAGGTCTCCCCACAATTAAAATAATTATAACTCACTGAGCTGGCAGTCGATTTGTTTGGTGTGTTACAGATGACAGACAATCGTTTCCATAATATAGAGCTTTTAACGTACACTTCATATTTATTTGACAAATCTAAGGTGGTTAGCTCACCTTTTTCATCCAAGCGCTTTAAAGGCTAATAAGTTTTAACCATACAGTTTTAAATGGAACCTTTTCCACTGTGAGAGAAAACATTTAAAAAAGCAAATCTCTGTAACAGAGGTCGAGATATTGACCAACTTAGTTTGTGTTATTGGTCAAGCTCCAAAACTCTGGATCCTATATTTGTTCTGATGCAAATCTGTAATGGGGATGTCAACTAATAATTGCAAAATATAAAAGAGTGTCTTTTGCAGCCATTTATGTTTTATAGAGGCCAATGCCAACCCATGCTCAATCACCTGACCTGAATCCGATTGAGCATGCATTTCACTTGCTGAAGACAAAACTGAAGGGAAAATGCCCCAAGAACAAGCAGGAACTGAAGACAGTTGCAGTAGAGGCCTGGCAGAGTATCACCAGGGATGAAACCCAGCGTCTGGTGATGTCTATGCGTTCCAGACTTCAGGCTGTAATTGACTGCAAAGGATTTGCAACCAAGTATTAAAAAGTGAAAGTTTGATTTATGATTATTATTCTGTCCCATTACTATTGGTCCCTTAACAAGTGGGAGGCACATATGCAAACTGTTGTAATTCCTACACCGTTCACCTGATTTGGATGTAAATACCCTCAAATTAAAGCTGACAGTCTGCAGTTAAAGCACATCTTGTTCGTTTCATTTCAAATCCATTGTGGTGGTGTATAGAGCCAAAAATGTTAGAATTGTGTTGATGTCCCAATATTTATGGACCTGACTGTAACTAGTTTTTTTTTATCCATGGTTTTATACTGACTGTTTTAATCATTTTAATTATTTTAAGCAAAAACACAAGACACTGTGTTTAGCTTCTCACATGATGTGAGATTCATTGTGATGATCTCCACCTTTTCTCTCTTTTTCATCACTGTAAACCAAATATCTTTGGGTTCCGTAGTTTTGGTTAAAAAAAAACAAGCAACTTAAAGACACACGAAATCTGACGGCGTTTCTTCAAAATAGGTTAAAAGATTAATCAGTTAAATGAGAACAGAACTGTAATAATTAGTTAATCGATGAGTCAATTGACAAATTTGACAATTAAATGTATAAGTCAAGCAAAAATCTCAAATATTTGATGGTTCCAGCTTTTCCAGTATAACAACGTGCTGCTTGTACCGGTTTTACATTATAGTAAACTGAATATCTTTGGATTTGTTAGCCAGACAAAATAAGCTGCCTGAACACATTACAGGGGGTTATTTTGTTTCCATTTTATGATGATTTACAGACCAAATAATAATGAATTTGACAATGAAAATGCTCTACTGTTAACTGATTATAGTTCTAGTATTGATGGTCGCATCAGTAAATCCATTAAATGATTCAGTTGATGGACTGATGTAAAGCATTAAAACCAAACAAATCATCAGTGCACCTCTAGCAAAGACATAACACAACATTTTACCTAAGAAATTCAACTTCTGCTCATAATGAGCTGTCACCATTGAGTCCTATCATTTCAAAATTACTGCACTGTCAACAAACATGTGCCGACATATTTGTTTAGTCAATGTGTTTCATAAAAAAAATGCTGGTGATTGAAGTCTGAAAGAAAGATACAGTGGGTACGGAAAGTATTAACAACAAATAAACAGCCAGAGGACAGAAACCCAGAGCAGACACTGTGTCCACTGGAAAGAAACTGCCATCGGCTGAGAAAACATGGTGACTGTCCAGCAGAAACTCTTAAGAGCAGAAGTTTTTCTGCTGGATTTGGATGAAACCTCCATCGACCAAAGAAAGACAGAAGATCCTTGTGTTCACTGACTTGACAGCTGGAAACACAAATGTTATGTTGGTCTCATTATCAAAGAGCTGAAGCCAACAAAGACATTTGCAGCCCAACACATGGAGAATTGGTTCAATCAGCAGCTTCAATAAGAGTTTAATAAAACCTTGCAAGTGTTTGTGTTATATAGTGTGTGTGTGTGTGTAAAGTGTGTGCCTTTACTCTGATGCTTCAGCTTTGTGTTGCTTTATAATGTTGATGGTCACATCTGGACTCACCGAGCCTTTCTGCAGTTCCTCACAGCTGGGACCAGTCTCATTCGTCCCTCCTCTGACGTCTTGTACTGATGCAGGTCCAACTCATCCAGAACCTCCTCTGACATCTGCAGCATGTAGGCCAGAGCTGAGCACTGGATCCCAGAGAGTCTCTGCTCTGACCTGGTCTCTGACTTCAGGAACTCTTGGATCTCCTGATGGACTGAGTGGTCGTTCACCTCCATCAGACAGTGGAAGATGTTGATGCTTCTGTCAGGAGAGATTTCATCACTGCTCATCTTCTTCAGGTTGCTGATGGCTGTCTGGATGGTTTCTGGACTGTTCTCTGTCTGACCCAGCAGGCCTCCTAAGAGTCTCTGGTTGG